ACTGCCCAGAAAGCCTGTCTGGTGCTCATGAGCCCTCCCCTCTCCCAGCACTCACCTTGGGGATACTGAGGTGTTCCCGGGGAGGACGATGCTCCGGGGAGAGCCCCTTGTGAGTCTAGAGATGCAGGGCCAGGGCTCAGAGGGGCGGGGGCGGCTGGTGAGGTCAGGTCCAAGGAGAGGTCAGCTCTGCCCCGGCTCACACTCCGGCTTCTCAGTTCCTTCTCGTGCGTCTCAGCTGCCAACTGCTCCAAGTATTTGTATCTGAAAGTGAAATTCCAAAGGGTTTCCGTAAAAAGAAAGAGGAGCCCGTGGCTGATGCTTGTTTATGGACGAAACACCTGCAGAGAGAGCTGGTTTCCTGATGCCGAGCACAGCGCGGGGCTGGCTGGAGGGCCCGCTTGCCAGGAACGCCCAGAGAAGCCAAGACGCTAGTGATTAAACATCCCGCATCAGGCACAACCAAACAGCCAGGGAGGGGGGCGGGTGGGAGGTGGCCACATCACACAGTCCCCAGACACCGCTCGCGGCTGCAGAATCCTGGTTTGCTCTTTTAGGAAACATTTGTACAAATAAGCAAAACAACAGTAATGACCATCAAAAAGGCCCCACAGTGACAGCTGAAAACCACACACCCTCGGAGCTCACAGCTGTGAAATGGGAGGGTGCCCTTGTGTGGCAGAGAGAAACGGTGCCCCCCAAATACCAAAAGGGGGTGTTGGACCAAGGCCTCCCTGAATGTCTGAACCTGCTTCAATGCTCACAGCAATGCGACTGGAATTCACTTTGTTCTCCCGGTGTCGACCATGGAAACTTTTTTATATTCTAAAATATTTCTGAGTCGGACTCAGACATCCAATAGCTTGGACCTGACGTCACATATAGTTTATTCATCAAAGTCAGTTTAAAAGAACAAAGATACATCTGTTTTGCATTTCAGGCAGGCAGAACCCACTAACTGTTTATTAAGACCAGCTACCAATCATATTCCGCATGGTGCGCTTTATAGATCAGACCAAAATAACTTTGAAATATGTGCCTCTTCCAGATGTCTGCTAATTTTACCCACCATTATTTGTTCAGAAATAAATTTATGGGCCCAGCTGTAGCCGGGTTCTGACTATCTTACCCACCACTAGACTTTGAAACAGCTTATTCAAGACCCTCCCTCACATCCACCCAGATGTACTGCTTCAGGTGCCCCCAACAGGCAAGCGCCCAGCTCTGGCCCACCATCGCCCCCAGATGGCACTCCCATTTCACCTGGATAAGAAAGGTGGGGCACCTATACGAGACCTGTAAAAAATGCATTTAGAAAGCACGCACTTCTTCATTCATCCTTAAGGTGGGCGTGGCTCCCATCTGTCATCATCACCTCCTCCCTACCAGTCCAGCAGCAGCCCACCCTGGGCCAGGCTCACACGTACCCTCCCATGAGGCTGCCTTGGCCACCACAGCTGGAAGCGATCGGGGGCCTTGCCTCGGAACTCATGTCGGATATGTAGCCCATTCAGCTCAGATGGCATTTTACATTTACTGCCTGGCATACTTAGTCATCTTTTCACATGTGCATGGCTGTTTTCAACAAGCAGATAATAGGATTTTTGAGAACAGGAAGATTACCCTCCTTTGTTCTTTCCCTCGGTGCCTTGCACTTGTCAGCTGACGGGAAGTGAGCAAAGTGTGCAGTGAGAACGGTGCAGGGCAGCACCCGACCTGCAGGGCCAGCACCCCACCTGCAGAGGTTCCCCTGAAGCACGGGGTGCAATGGGGGAACGCATTCACTTCACTTTCTTGGAAAGGCAGCTGACTCGCACGTGAATCGCTGATAAAAGGTGCAGTAGGTCTGCATATATATAAATGTCTGAGGCTGGCTCTGAGGGCAGCTGCCTCATCATGAAGGGTGGAGACGCTGGGCCCAGAGAGAACGCTTTGGAAACTCTGGGCTTTCCTTGCCAACGAGGTCACCTCTCAAAAGGCAGGAGAGGAGACCAAAGAAAAGTATTTCTGAACTTAATTCTGACCAGCAAGGGAAAACCACTGGGCTTGGAGGGGATGGGAATCTTGGGAGAGAGTGGTCTTGAGGGTCAGAGCCCTTAGGAGGCATATTTTAATGAGATAGTGGTGAATGCAAGGCCAGAAAGGCTGCAGCCCAGGAGTCTGCGAGTCCGAGCCTGCAACAGGAGAAAGGGACAGGCAAGGAATGACATGCAAATTAGGGGGCCTGCATAGGTCCGAGAGACTGGAGATCATGAGCAGGAAAGTTGTGCTCAGCAAAATCAGAAGAGGGCAGAGAGAATGGTAACAAAGCCAGGAGGACGGCCCATTTATGACTTCACACTTCACTGGGTCCGGCCCTGGCCCTGGCCTCTGCAAACCCCATCCGTGGGCAGCGAGGCTGGCAGGCATGTGCTAGCAGCCAAAGGACTCACCCTATTTCCTGGGAGACCCCAGGGGTTCCTCACTCAGAGGCTGGGTATATATGACTCGAAGATTATTCCTGTCTCACGGGTGCCATCCTTGGGATCCAGAAGCCATGGGCAGAGTCACAGGTTTAATCTGAATTATCCCAAGGGTGTGTATGTGGTAGATAAGAATGGCAGGGAAGGGGACATGGGGACTTGTTTAATGGATATAACCTTTCAGTTTTACAAAATGAAAAGCATCTGGGAAGTAAAGAACACAGACCCCCACACACATGGGGGGAGTTAACAGATGGAGTCTTTATCCTTTCTTCTGAACCTCTTTCCACCTCTTACCTCCACCAGCTTCCCCATCTATTTCTAAAGTCCGTTATATTTGCAAGTCTTATCTTTTCCTGGCTCACCCCCAGCAGCTTTCCAAACAGGGATGAAAGCATCGCTCCCTCACCCCATCCGCAGCTAATTGAAGAGGCAGGTGAACCAAAGTGGCAGGTCCAAACCAGAGGAAAATGTCCGGATGTTTCCCCCAAACCTCCGTGTAAACAGAGAGGTGGGCTGTAAGAAAAGACCCTCCCATGGGGGCACAGAGAGCCCGCTCCTGCCCAGCTAAGAGGCCCAGGCAGGTGAGTGACAGAGAGGGAATGTTGGGCCAGAGTGAGAGGAGTGGCAAACTCCTCAGCACACGGCCTCCAGGCGTAAGTGATGTTCTGCTTTGGGGAAAAGAACCGTAAATAACATCCAGGAACAGGTAGCCTTTGGTGGTTTGGAAAATTCTGGGTCAGTCTGAGCCAGTCAGACCTGACACCACCCCCAACCCCAAGTGCTTTCCAGCCGTGCCTGTGCCGGTTGAGCCCGACAGCCATGCAGCCAAAACCTCAAAAAAGTGCAACATTTGGAGGGAATGCTAAAAAACAAGATAAAATTGGATTTCTTAAGCTTGGCCACAAAGTCAACAGCATTTCCAGTACAAGTATATATCATGTCCACCAGTGTAAAAAAAAAAAAAAATGGTATGGCCTGGCCAGCGCGGCTCAGTGCTTGAGCGTCGACCTATAAACCAGGAGGTCACAGTTTGATTCCTGGTCAGGGCACATGCCCAGGTTGTGGGCTCGATCCACAGTGTGGGCTGTGCAGGAGGCAGCCGATCAATGATTGTCTCTCACTGATGTTTCTCTCTCTCCCTTTCCCTTACTCTCCGAAGTCAATAAAAATACATGTGTTTTTTTTTTAAAATGATACAAATTAGAGAAAGAGAACTGTGTTTCTTTACCAGCGTCTTTCACGCTACATTTGCTGTCCACAACTGGTGATGAGGATGGCAATAATCAAATGTTTTATTCATGAGGCTGACCTAAGCACCTAATTTTTAAATTGAACATAGGCAGACTCCACTCCTCTATGCCCTAGTCTGTCCTGACCTATTTAGCTGATGGTGTCTAAAAAAAAAAATGAGCACAATTCCATTTTTTATTGGCAACGTTCAAATATTGTTAGGTTCCCAGCTGGCTCTGGTATGAAACCAGCATTTCCATCTCTCCGTGCAGTAACCCCACCTGGTGGTGGACAGAATAACTGCAGGGCTACAGGACAAACATTGGTCTTTTTCACTGTTCTACTTCCCAAAACATGCTTATCTAAATTAATCAGACAGTGAGCACATTAACTTTGTATCTTTTAATGAGGTTACAAGTATGTTGCCACTGAAATTTTAAAAATTGGTTTACAGATTAGATATTTGAAAGAAAGCTGTCCGTTTATTTGCTCATTTATTCCATGCATTTTTCCGGAGGGTCAAATATGTGCAAAGGATTGTGGCAGGCACCGGGATAACCCAGGAAAACCAGGCATGGTTCTTGCCACCAGGAACCTGAGTGCTGTTCATGAGGGAGACAGGGAAGTGACAGGCACATTTGGTGAGTGTCTCAGGAGGGTGTGGGCCCCCCAGCCAGTGCCCGGCATAGCGCACGTGGTCAAATATTTGTTGCCTGTATGCTGAGCATGTGACCTGGACACCTCATGCTGGCTCAGTAGGGGTGGCACAGGATATGGGAAATATATTCCACAGGTCAATATACAAATCAATGTGCTCACTTGTAGAAGAATTTTGGAGCAGAAATATATTTCACACCATGATGACTCTAAATCAGAAACCTGTACTTCATTGAAAAATGTAGATAACCTGACACTTATTCTACAAAACGCCAATTACCAAAGATCTCAGGTCTCTTAGGGAAAGCTGTGAGATTTTAATTCACACAGTCTCCACGGCATGCTGGGTTAGGAGTGCCAAGTCACGTGCGGTTTGGTTACATGGGGAGGAAGAGAGATACAAACCTTTCTTCTCTTGCTTGTCTTTGCTCCTCTCTTTTGCCTAAATACTCTCGGCTACTGAAAATAGATGGACGAAACAAAATAGGGAAGAAAAAGAACAGAATTATTGCTCATAAGATTGCTAACAGTATATAATGAAAGCCCACTATTGCCTTGGAAATGGAAAGTGGCTGTAGTTGAATTTTTAAAAACCAAGGGTAAAGACTGTGCTTTAAAAGCACTAAATATAATGGATCTCCTATAAAATCACAGGAGTCCGAAATCATAGGATTGTTGGATTCACTCACAGACATGACCAATTACTCTTTGGAAAGAAGAATGCATGCCTACTGGGGGAAGGGAGAAGAAAAATATTTTTTAAAGGTGAAACAATACATAAATAAAGTATGGCCATGACAAGCAAGCCATAGCTTTCAGAGGCGATTCACATTCAGTCAAGCTCTGGTAGCGCCACAACTTCCACCTCAAGAATTAAATCTGAGTGGCTCTGAGGGTCGCTGCGCTCCCCAGCTTGGACGTTGCTCCCACAGCCCAGGAGCTCTCTCTGCGCCCCGCACATTCTGGCTCTCTGCAGGGATCCCTGGAGGCTCTCGCTCCATGCATTCTCTTTAGCCTGTACCCCAATTTTGTCCAATTTTAATGTTTGTTTTTCTGTTCCTGCTGGTGACGTCCCAACGTGAACCTAAGCTTAAGATTGTGTGATCAGTCACCTCCCAATACACCATTTATTTTCCTGGAGAATCCTGGCATTATGGTTTTCTACACTGGGCCTAACATAGTTTGAGCATTTTACCCCTTGATGCCCTGGCAACTGGATATAAGGGAGCAGTAAGTCAGAGCAACTGAAACAAGTTAGGAGAGGGAGAAAAGGCAACAGAAGCTCAAATTTGTTATCATTTATAAACATCCATCCTCGTCACTTTTCATACTAGAAAGAAATTCTTCCATAACCCAAGGGGTTTAAGAGCATAGTCAATAAAAATAGCAGCAGATAAGGAACAACTTTTAGATGGAATGCAAGGGAAAAGGCACAGGAGCATGAACACCTTAAATCAATGTAATGGGTGGGGAAAGGCCAGCCGTTGTGGTATTCCCAGGGACTACTTTATAAAGCTCTTCCTGTTTCCTCTTTTGAATTTCTTTTCATTCACATCCTCAGACTTTTAGGAAGAAACTGCCATCATTATAATTAATAGTTGTGTGTGGTCTGTCCTGATGATCAGCATTCCTTCCTGGACAAGGTTTATTTAATATTTTCTATCTATTTATCTATCATCTAACTATTTATATCTATCTATCATCTATCATGTATCTATCTATATCTATCATCTATCTATATCTATCATCTATCTATCTATCATCTATCTATCTATCTATCTATCTATCTATCTATCTATATCTATTGACAGAGTGAGAATTAGATCCAGACAATCCATCTTCAGAGACCATGCTCATAGCTGTTCACTCTTTGTCCTTGGTACCAAATGGATCTCATTTGTTATTTAAGAACACAGAGAGATTCTGGTTATGATATATATTTTTTGTTACATGTCATATATATTATATATATTGTAACATAATGACTTAGGTATAGCAATGCATTATGTACTGTTATAGGACTCCAATGTCATGAATGCTACACATTTAGGAATTATTCTATGGGTCCCTGAGGAACTGTTCATTTTTTTCAATGTTTTGTTTTGATTCTTAGATTGGATAATTTCTACTGTTCTATCTAAAAGTCTTTGATTTTTTTCTTCATTTCCATTCAGCTATCGAGCCCAACCAATGAATTTTTTGTTTTGGTGGTTGTGTTTTTCAGTTCCACTTAGTTCATCTTTATATCTTCTATTTCTTTGCAGAGACTTCACTTTTCATTTGTTTCAAAATCATTTGCCCTTCCTTCTTAGAGCCTGTTTATAATAAATGCTTTAAAGTCTTTGTCTGATAAAGACAGCATCCTTTTGTGGTTAGCATATTTTGGTTTTCTTTTCCTTCTGAGTTAAGATTTGCCCTGGCTCTTTGTATGACAAGTTATTTTGGATTGCATTCTGCATATTTTTAAATATTTTGCAAAGAGACTCTGGGTCTTATTTACATTCTATGAAGAACCTTGCTTGTTTTCTTTTGTTTTCCTTTAGAAGGCAAACAACTAAGTTAGGTGCAGCCTACAAGTGCTGTCTTTATATATTAGTTCCAATATTAGCTCAATTTAAAAATATTTTAGTGCTATTGAAATCAAGCCCTATGTGTACCACCCAGTGGCCAGTCTAGGACCTGAGCAGTGGTTCATCAGTGCTTAGTTCTCAGTCTGCGGCTTGCTGTTTAGGTTCTGAGCCACCCCTGCACAAATCAGTACTCTCTTGATTTCTCTATGCTTTCCTATCACTTCCTGGCTTCCTTGGGTTGGTTTCCTGTCCTGGTCCTCCAACCAGAAAGCTTGGGCTTTCTTTTCCCTGCCCTGCTGCACACTTTCAGTGACTCCATCCACACCCAGGCAATGCAGCAGGACACAGAGAGCAGAATGGTGATGTGCCTAGTGCTCTCAGGGTCATAGCTCTTCTGGTTAGAGTTTTAGGCACCCGCCTGGACACTGCTGCTATACAGGGGCTTCTAAAACAACATTGCTTGGATGCTGGGGTAGGAGAGAAGGAGAAAATATGGAAAAAAAACCCACCAGAGTTTCTCCACTCTCTGACACTTAGGAATTCCTCCTACCGCCCTTCAGCCCAGAAGGAGGGGCTTCCTCCCAGAGCTGTCAATGCACACTTGGTGCGTGCCTCTGGGTTTCAGGGTGTCTGAGTATGAACCAGGTGATAGTGGAGGGAAAATGGTAAACTTTCACTGGTTAGGTGGGACAGTGAATGCTAGTCTCCTCCTCCAAACCTCCTGCTCTCTACACACCAGGGAGTTTTCGGCGCTCTACACACTTGTCCACGATTTTTGGTGCATGCATTGATGCAGAAGAGTCCGGAGGGGCAGAAGAGACAGGACCCTGGACCTGTTTTCAATCAAAATCTTTAGATGGGTAAGCTAATCTCTGAATTTTCCAGGTGTTTTAGCAAGATTCTCTGCTGCTATTTATGCAAATCTCCCAGAAAGCTCTGACACAGGAAGCTTTTAACCTGTTCAAGTGGTTTTTAGAAATTGGTCTTTCCAAAAGAGACACCCCCCCCAGAGCTACATCGTGAGAAGGGTTCATTCAGGTCTGGCTTTTCCATGTATCACGTGGTAGAAACCTGACAGCTCGGGGCATGCCACCCGATCACAGGGGCTGATGTTGGCTTACTTCACGCAGCCCATTAACCCAGTATCAGCATTTCAACACAGACATGGGAGATTTGTTTTCACATAGTAGTGAGTGACAGTTATGGCAACCTCACAGCTCTGCTCAGAGTTTGATCATTTCTACAATTACACATACTCTTCCTGGCTGCTGACAAAGAAGTTCTTGAACTTGTAAAGCCTCACTAACAATGCGCTACATTCTTTGTAGGTGTAACTGGGAGGAATTGATGGGAAGATTGTTTGCCAAAGAAATTGAATGGAGGCAACAGGAAATGGAGATGGGGAGAGAAATGAAAAGAAGAATATAGAAGCTATAAGAGAGGTAACTGGGAAGATGAAGGGAGAGATAAGGAGAAGGCAAGTAGGAAGGAGGGAAAGGAGGGAGCAAAGGATGAATGGAAGGAATGAAATGTGTAAGGACAGACTGGGCATGTGTTTTGCATTCCATAAAGCGCTGCACAGCATGAAGCCCAGGGCAGGGGAGTGACTGGAGGTGAGGATGGGAGAACAGGTGACCTGGCTGAAAACTGAGCAACACTGGACTAAGCAGCCACACAGGCTAAGACTTGGAACCTGGCGTGGGCTACACACAGGGACATATTCTTGGAGCTGAACAGAGACCAGGAGATTGGGGGACAATGTCCTGGGAGTAATCAGCACAATGACCTTTCTTTACCCTGTAGGGGAAGATTAGTGGTTTTATTTAAAAATTAAATATTGCTATAGGGAACAAAATGCAAACCAGAAAGTGAAAAAAACATTTTTTTTTTTAGGCATCCAATAGAATATGAATAAAACATGAATAGTTTAGGGGGAAATAGCAAGTTAATTTAAGACAATTAGGTTCTCTGTCCTTATTTTATTTTTTACTAAAATTAGTTCAACTTTATCTTTTTTAAAAATAAGTTTTACATAGGGTAATGTTTTCTGGTTATTCTGCCTTACTTTTTATTTTTTTAAATTTGTCTTTATTGTTGAAAGTATCACAACAATACTTTGTGTGTTTTTTTCCTCATTGATCCACTCTACCCCGCACCCACCCCACCCCGGCCTTCACCACACTATTGTGTATGGGTTATTCATATCTATATATACAAAAGCCTAAGCAACCATTACAACTGAATGACCAGAACGTCTGGTCAACCAGTTGCTATGACGTGCACTGACCATCAGGGGGCAGATGCTCAATGCAGGAGCTGCCCCCTGGTGGTCAGTACGCTCCCACAGCCAACCTCCCACAGCCAGCCAACCTCCCCGGGTCCTTCTCCCCGTCTGGCAGGCCCCATCCAGCTGGCCTTGTCTGGCAGTTGGAAGGCCCTAACTCTATGACACCATTATTAATCATACAGAGCTGTGAAGGCAGGCACTTTCATATCAATTCATTATCATAGAAATCGGAAAATCCTCTTACCTGAACTTGTTCCTTTCTTCCCGTTCTATTCTCTGCAACCTTTCTTCTCTCTCCTGCCGCCGCCTCTCTCTCTCGGCTGCCAGGGACTCCTGGTGCTGCCTAAAGGATGATGTGAGAAGACCACTCAGTGATGACCTAAAGGTATAATGAGTTCATGTTTTAGTGGGTTGGCCTACGATTAAAGGTACTGAAATAGGAATCGATCAGACCTTGGTTAGAACTGAGGGTCCGCCAGAAGCTAGGGAGTGCTTGGGGAAAGTCCCCGAGCATCTCAGCTCTTCCGTTTCAGAATCTCCATCTCTAAGTGGAGGTAAGTAACCTGCCACAGACACTGGGAGGACAAAATGGTGTCGTGAATAAAATACTAAGCATTCTGCACAGCAAAGAAACCATCCACTAAAGGAAAGGCAACCTGGAGAAAGTATTTGCAAATCATATATATAAGAAAGGGCTAACATCCAAAATGTATAAAGAGCTTGTATAACTCAACAGAAAAAAAAAAGAAAATTGGGTAGATCTGAACCGACATTTCTCCAAAGAGGACATACAGATGGCCAACAGGTATATGAAGAGATGCTCTGTATCTCTAATCATGAGAAAAATGCAAACCCCAAGAAATAGGCAACTTTTCCCCATCCCCATTGTTGCCATCCTGGGACATCTGCCATCCGAGACAGGACCTTGATTCCAGGCTTCCACGTGCTTTCTCTGCAGCCTGCTGCACACTGTCCGTGAGAGCCAAGCCTCCCCACCACGGGAGGGCACGGCTGGGCTCCCACAGCTGCTGTGGAGACGGGCCCCATATGCAACCTCACCTTACTATGTTGGCTCACGCATCAAGCATGAAGCTGCTCTTCCAGGCGTGGCTGGCATCACACTCTGGCCTGTCCACTGGCCCTTCTGCAGGCTCCTGCCCCGGGCATGCAGCAATTTCTGCCCCTTCCCTCTTACTCTCCACCCTCCTGGCCAAGACCATGTGAGTCCTTCAGCAGAACTCACCCAGCTCCATGTCCACCCTGTTTGGCTTCATAATTAAACCATTCCCCTGGCAGCTTCCAAAAGCACCGTCCACCACCAGCACCTTATGTCCTACGGTTTCCAGGCTTTACTGGCCCAGACTGAGGCCCATCCTTTCCATCTTCTCACTTCCTCTCCACTGCAGGCCAGCTTTCCCCTCCCTTGTGCACTTACCTCTGCTCTAAACACCAAGCTTCTCCCAAACACAGTCTCCCATGGACCTCAGGACCATGTTTTAAGGAAGATGTAAACTCACTCTATTCTCTCATCTCCCTCTTTACCTTCCCTCCTGCACATACTCTCACCTGCCCACTGGGCAAACCTAGAGGCAAACTGCAAGTTGTCTTATGTTAGAGACTCAGTTTCCCAGACTTCTCACCAGAGATGTCCCTTGGGAGGATGGGCCATCTATGCCTGACTCCTCTCCCTCCAGCTTGTCTACGAAGGTTCATCACGGTGTTTACTACAATGGGAACTCCCTATGTGTGGATGGTGTGCTTCTCTCCATTTCTGCGGCTATATGTGACCCTCATGACATCAGGGGTAGGGTCGGAATGGATCAGTGTCAGATTCCCATGCCAAGCACAAGTTGGCACATTGTGAGCACTCAGCATTTTCTGAATGAAATATATGAGTAATATTTGTGACTGTGTGTGTGTGTGTGTGTGTGTGTGTGTGTGTGTGTTCACCCCAAGGGCCAGGTTTCCAGCTGTCACTGGCTACAATGGCATTGTTTACTGGCATTGTTCAAAGGTTACTGAATGAGAAAGAGGAGGAGGGGTGCCTATCTACCATTCTAAGTGTGTATAACTATCTACACACCAAATTTATCCCCCAATTAAGTCTCTTCCATTATACCACTAAAGCTTCTCACTCATTGCTGGGCTTTGAGGTAAGGAGTGGGGAACTGAGATAAGAGAACAAATATCAGGAACCCAGGAATACATTTTCTGAAAGAAGAAATCTCCCTCTTTTTGCTCCGTAACCTTTATACACCACTAATGCAAAACCACTGTAGCCAGTGACAACTGGAAAGCTGGCCATCGGGGGCCGTGACACAGCTGGGTGATGGCACAGGGTTCAGCTTACAGCACCAATGAGCTGTACTGTGTCCAGCTCTGCGGGTGTAGGAATTCTGGTCTGTGATAGTTGCACTTTCTTGTTACAGATCTCACCAAATGCTAAGTGTCACACATGCTGCTTTCACTTGCAAACAGAATTATAATACACACCTATTACGGTTGCTCTGTACATCCTTTAGGTAAATAGGGTGAGAGAACTGTCCAGTTAAAAAAATCCAATTCCACTTTCTAAGGGCAGAAAACAGGGAAAGTGGGAACAGCACAACGTGCACTCTGCAAAAGCAAAACACTTCTCCACACTTCCAGTGAACATGGATGCTCCTAAGCACTGTCCTGTCTGTCTCAATAAAGATTTCCCCCAAATCTTCTAATCAAATGGCCAGTCCAGGAAGTTGAAGCATCTTCATCCTGTGGCTTTGTGGGACCCAGGTTCACTGCCACGGACCCCTGGAGGTTGTGAACCCCAAGAAACAAATGGATAGACACATAAGAATTCAAAGGACTGAGAGCTGACATAGCGGAACCTGGACCCAAGAGGACGTTCATTCTGACTGAAGAAGTCAGAGCCTCTGACAGGATGGGTGGGTCTTAGAGGATGCCACGGAATCGACCAAATGGAGAAAGGAGGAAGCTAGCCACGGGGCAGAGCACATATGAAGAAAGGGGCCTCGGGAGGGCCTGCTGTGTTCACGGGACATTCCCGGGGGGCTAAAGGACAGGGAGGTGGGGGGAAAGCTGGAAGACACATACAGGACCCAAACACGAAGCGTCCTCCAGGCGATGGTAACCAGCTGGGCTGTGTCCATAGGCAGTTGGGAGTCATTCAAGGTTTCTAAGCAGGAAAAGTCACCTGCTCAAATTTGCATTTCAAAAAGGATAGAAGACATACACCACTGCAATACAGAGTCCGGACATGACGTAGGTCTGGAACTAAATCTGTGGTCCTAGGAACGATGAGGAGGAGTCAGATTCAAAATACATGTGGGAGGAAGAATCTCTAGCATCTGTTAGGCGCCCACAGGCAGAGGGCTGAGCCAGAGCCCGGGTTCCCAACGCCCACAGTTGTTACATAAAACTGCCATCAGGGAGCCAGACCCTATTGTAAACTCACTCTGTCAACTGACCGGTGCTTCTCCTCTGCACTTTGGATGTAACACGATCAATTAATCAGGACCACATTGTGCCTTACAGGAACTCCTTGTCTGTAACGAGATTGCTATCAGGGAGTAGCAGCCGCCAAAGGGGGGCAGGGGGGCCTGCTTGCTGTGCAGCTCAGCACAGGCTCGTGGCTTCTTTGAATGGTAGGAAATCGTCCGCATTGATAGCCTTTATTTCCTGCTGGCCGTAGTGAACTGGGTACCATTAACTGTGATCACACAAAAAGGCATGATTTTATCCCATCTTCCGTGCTTTTTCCCAGTGATTTTTAAAAATATACTTTGATCAATTTAAAAGAAAAAGTTTACCTACAGCCCCATTGGACAGTGGGGCTCTTGACTCCAACTGACACAAAATTTAAAAAGTACTGTGTAGCCCAGCCAGCATGGCTCAGTGGTTGAGTGTTGATCTGTGAACCAGAAGGTCACAGTTCAATTCTCAGTCAGAGCATATGCCCAGGTTGCAAGTGCGATTCCCAGTGGGGGTCGTGCAGGAGGCAGCTGATCAATGATTCTCTCTCATCATTGATGTCCCTATCTCTCTCTCTCCCTCTTCCTTCTTCTCTGAAGTCAATAAAATATATTAAAAATAAATAAATAAAAAGTACTGTGCAGATCAAGTGATGGACCATAGCCAACAAGTATTTGGGATCCAGACAAACACATGGGTCATATATTTGAAAAAAGCAATGATCTGAAAACCAGACAAGTAGAACCTCAAGGCACATGGAGATACTAGTGGAGGAAGAAATGATAAAAGCCAAAGTCAACTAGAAGGGGAAGAAAAAACACACACAGGACAGACAGTCACATGGAGGATGGAGTCGGGATGAAGACACAGGTAGCAGCAAATTCACTCAGGGCCATCGTCAGCAGTCCTGCCACGCAAGTAAGAACTATAAGAGCTAACATCCCTGAAAAGAGGTAGAAACACATGGACACAGACACCATCATTCTGAGGGAGGAGTGACCACACCAGTGTGCAAGCAGGTCACAGGGAGTGAGGTCCCACCAGGGGGAGTTTGGGCTGGAAGGAGAAGCCAGCACTCAGCACCACAGGCTCTCTTGCTCCTAGTCTTAGCTCCTTGGTCCCAGCTTCCCCACACATTCTTGGGCTCTTTATCCCAGCCACCAATTTCTGCAAAGGCCCACAAGATGGAGATGTCCCCGCAGGGATGGGAAGAGAATGCCATCTGCCTTTCCCAACTTCCAGGAACCACAAATTCATGTGCTGTGATTACTGTTTGCTTGCTTGCTTGTTTCATTTGAATACTTGACCATGAATGGTTCAACTATTCCTGTAATTATGCTTCCCTTTAACAAGAAAACATTTAGAACTTTTCCACTCAAAAAGTACATTTTTTAAAATTGAAGCATTTTAAAAGTCAGCCTTCATTACACAGTTGCATTTTGTATCCGTGAGGGCCTTTGCAAATAATCTGGTTTTCCTATTTTGTTTCGGCATAATTCAAGTTCAATGTCATGAAAACTAATGCTATACCCTCTCTTTCTAAAAGAGAGCCCTATAAAGGAAGCTGTGATAGCAGATGTGGAGAAGGATTGGTTTTGATTCCCCTGTTTTGACTTAGCTTTGTATACTGTTTCTTCAGTTCCTTCCTTTCTGGGTCAGTTTATCATTCCACGTTTTATTAACATCCAACCCACTGACATGCTTGGGGAGACTCTGGGAAACTCCAAGTGCAGACTGATGCTCAGGAGTCATGTCCAAGGCGGCCGGCCTGCCCCAAGGGCTGCTTTAGTTGGCCCGGTTTTCCCCGGACTTCTGAGAAGAGAGCCTTCTTTCCCAGTCAAGGGAATGAAGTCCTAGAGTCCTGAGTACTGCATGGGGCCCTGGCACACGTTAGTAGTCAGGGGTGTGCTGCCAGATGTGGGTTCTCGTCGCAAAAATGCAACTATTGTTCGTAACAGTTCAATGTCTTTCCAAAGAAAAAAGTTTTTCTTTTTGACTTCAATAAAATATGGGTATGTGAACCATTGAACAATAAATCTTATGCATTCCACTGAAGAATATACCTCAGTCAAAACAATCATAGATCTCCATAAGGCAAAAAATTCTCACAGATGTGAAAATGGATTATGGGTGACATGCAAAGAATTCAGTTGTCAAAAAGAAAAAAGAAAACATTAAACTATACAGAAACACACATTATCATAAATGCACCTGGCATAATATGCTTGGGTGATGGAGCACAAAAGGGATTTGGAGTTGAGAACTCCTCTTATTTGTCTCTTGTTAGTCACAAAGCATAAACCAACAAGGTGAGAGTAAGAAGGGATGATGCAGCCAGGCCTGATGGTTTCATGGTCTTAATAATGGAAATGCATGTCCAATGTTTTAAATGATTCATCACAGGGTTTTTCAAAGCCACAGACCTTGAGAGTTGAAGACACATCCAAATGGAAAGAAGCAATAGACACTCTGAAGCTACTTTACTCACTGGTGGATCCATTGGATGGCAAAGGTGCTGAATTTCCTGTGCAGAAATGCACTGTGAAAGGGAGCAGGCAGCTGGGAAGGGGCTCCTGCCACTGCTGTTCCCAGGGACCAGGTCTTGGCACACAGGCTCCCAAAGGGATTTCATCCAGCGCCTTCTTCACACTGAGGACCGCGGAGCCATCTCCCCGGGTGTCATAGATGCCTCATACCTTGCATGTCCCAGGCTGGACATCTCCACTCTCCATCTGCTCTTCCTCCAGGATCTTCTGTCCCAGTTCCTTGCTTCTCACACCCACATGCAAGCCTGACCCCTCACTCCCTTTGCTTTCCATGCTCCCACCCTCCTGGTGGCAGCCAAGTCTGCCCAAACTCACTTCTCCCCACAAGCCCCTGGGTCACTGGCCTTCTTGGTCATGGTCACCTCTCTCGGACTTGGAGGCAACCTCACCCGTCCAAGTGCCATTCATTGATGTGTTAGAGGACATCACTAGTTGCTTCCAAACCTGAACAGCCCTGTGGCCTCAGGATGAAGAACAACATCCACTCCAGGACAATCAAAGTGCTCCTGGATCCAACCCTACTCTTCCTCCTCTAATTTTTCCCCCAGGAGACACTCAGCCAGATCAAAAAAGGAAGAAAATACATACAGCAGCCCTTCAAGAGTCTGCATCCCTGGACCTTCCAGCTTAAACCTGACCTGGGTCTCTAGGAGTTAGAAAGAGGGTGGAGGTCGGGGCTTCACCTTTAGGACCAGGGAGGAATTTCCCCTAAGCCCAGGACTTTGGAAATTTGCAGACCTCCTGTCCTTATAACTTCTCACCTTCAAGGATCTCCAAACAGTTCCCCAACCAATGAGTGGGCAATTCACCCAATTAACCAGCATTGGCTGCCGCTCTGCCATGGCCAGAGTTGGGTACTGTGGAGGACACAGCATGGAATGGAGCCTGCTGCCCATTCCCGAGGAGCTGGCAGCCTCACATGTGTGAGATGTCTCCTGTAAGATGGGTCAGGCTCTCATATTCCTCACTTTGGCCCCAAATCCTCCATCCCATATGACAAGGTTCTTCTTTATTAGTGACCTCTCTGGGAGCACAGGCAACCTCAGCTGACCCCAAGAAGAGGTGCCCCAGGGTAAAGGACAGAGGGTGTCTTCAGGGTAATCACCTTGTGACCTCATTACCAAGACCTAACTGAGCCTGAATATGCCCAGGCCAGGGACACACTGGGCTGTGGAACCTGAGAGTTTGACACCATAGTGCTTACATAGCATCTTAGAAATTAACGCTGAGGGGTGGCCGGGCAAACCACATTGGACAGCTCTTTTTCCCCGGGGCTGGGAGGTCTTGCCTGCTCCACATCCTGGCCAAATCTCTCATCACCAGCAGCACTTGGCCAAACACACCCTCCGATACACAGAAGACCAGAATGTGGTACACAGATTGAATGTGTTTCAGATTCAGGATTTGCAGCAAATGACCTCCGGGGCATCATTCCTGTCTAGATTTCTGACCAATCATGAGTGGTGGACATTATACTCCATCATCACACATTGTCACTCCCCAGGGGACCCGCACAGGGGCAAGGGGTTCACAGAGCACTTTCACCTGTACCTTTCATCTGTTCATCAAAACCACCCTCTAAGCCTGTGGGTCGCAAACAATGAACATACATCCTGCATATCAGATATTTACATGACGATTCATAACAGTAGCAAAATTACAGTTATGAAGTAGCAATGAAAATAATGTTATGGTTGGGGGTCACCACAACATGAGGAACTGCATTAAAGGGACGCGCCATTAGGAAGGTTGAGAACCACTGCCTAATGTAAGGGTTGGCAGAATTGGCATTTTACCCTTAGGATGCAATAACTTTCCAGTGAGTTGGGGCCCTAGCCAGTGTTCTCTAACTCAGCACTCTTGCCATATAAGGGTAACTGTTTTCAACTGTTCTAAAATTACAGGAACTACCTACCCTTCCCTTGTGAACACATCCTTGTGCAATCAGGAGTAAGAGTAAGGTAATTTCTGGTGGTCTAATACTCCTGCCAAGTTAAATTCCTTCCCTGGACCCATACAATTCTTTTCTCTTTTGGTAGGTCCTGGATTAATTACACAACACCTTAATGGGCCCACTAACGATGTACACAGAATTAATCATTCAGAGGTGAAAATTGATGTGTGTAAGACAAATTGCAGAGCTTATGCTAGATCTAGAACAGCTTTTGGGTGGTGAATCAAATCATTTACATTTAAATGTTTTGGAAAAACAGTTCTATACTTTCCATGGAAAGTGGGTAGGGAGATGAAATAATAATAACAAAATATCTCCAATAAAATATTTACTAAATAGTGTGAAAGAAAGAAAACAGTCTTGCCTGTGGGATATATTCTGGAAAGGAAAATACTCCAGATTATACTTTCATTGACACTTTTCCGTTAGGCACTCTTCATCAAATGGATCCCCTTTATGTGAAGACAGTGAAGCTATCAGAATGCTCCCTATAAGATAAGACCCACCTGTCCAGCCTGGGCTCCTGGGGGGTTGGAAGAGATGATGTAGAAGCGGTGGGCACAGCAGATCCAGACGAAGGTCTTGAAGAGTGATAAGAGTGGTTGCCAAAGTTGTTGTATCTAAAGAGTGCAGAGAATTAAGTTGGGAGCAAGGGGAGACAGAGAAATGAGTACAAGTCAGTAAATAAGGAATCGCAAATTATCTTAAATTTTCCAAGAGAAAGAGGTCTGGAAATGCTAACACTGTCAGTGATTGCACTAACACACACACACACACACACACACACACACACACACACACACATTTACTAACTGTTTTGTTTTGTTTATTTCTCATTAGAGATGGTTCCCAAAGTCCAGACCCATTAAGCAGCAGGATTCTGACAAAGGGTTTAATAAGACACTCATGTACAGTCAAACTATTTGCTAACATAAATTAGAATCCAAATTATTTTCATTTGAATCATGAAGAGTTTTCTTGTCTTTCCAGTGGTACAATTAGCATTAAATCCATTCAAGATTGGTAGAAAATGCCAGATGATTGGCTAAAGAAACATCTGATTAAAAATTCTGCTTTAGGTATTTCTGAATCAATTTCGTTCATTAGATATAATCTCATTGTGTGGCTGGTGACGAAGAATAAGATGTCCTCGAGGCTTCTGGATGAGCCTGTTGCTAAAAGGTGCAAGTGTCTATGTTTTCATTCAATATTTCCCCAGGAATAACATTACAGCCACTAGGTTTAAATGAGCTTTCATCATTTCACAATCATCTTTTATAAGTTTCAGGATTTGAAGAATTCTAGAGTTTTCTTTGTTTTTCGGAATAGATGCCCTTTAGCAGGCTGTATTTAGCCATCTTTACTCAGTGAATTCCCAGAACACAAACTAGCATTTGAAGCCCTTGCCTGGGGTAGACACTCATGATTAATTACAAATAACAAGATTCAGAGAACTTTGCCTCTCAAACTACTCAGCCACTACTTCCCCGGAACCAGTTAGGGACCTTGTATTTGGGGATATGGGACCTCAAGGGCCATTTGTATTTGGATAGTTGGGACCTCAAGGGTCACTATGATGTAAGCGCACAAAGACCTTCCTGCACACGCTGAGTCCAGCTCAAACTCTTGCCGACAGAAACCAGTACTAACCATTCTGGGAAGCAATTAGACCTCAATAAGATATCTTTTGACAGAGTAAGTCTACATTTGGGGAGTTATCATAACCCTTATGTTTATTTATATACAAAAAAATGTCATGCAGGGAACATTATGGAGATCATAGTGAAAACTGGAAACTACCCAACTAGCTAACAATGCAAGAATAGGTAAGAAAGTATGATATATTACTCATCAACGGAATATTATGCAACCATTAGAAGTTATTGCCAATTTTGTAAGTGATAACATGGGAAATGTATATATCTAAATGTTCATATCTACATATATATGTGGGCTGAATTAAAACATCAGATATAATATACACTAAGTTTGATCACAACTTTGTGTAGAAAAAAGTGTAAAAAACAAATCATCTATTTTAAAAAGTGTAAGAGATAAAATTTCAGTTTTTCTTTTTTTAAAAATATATTTTATTGATTTTTTACAGAGAGGATGGGAGAGGGATAGAAAGTTAGAAACATTGATGAGAGAGAAACATCTATTAGCTGCCTCCTGCACACCCCCTACTGGGGATATGCCCACAACCAAGGTACATGCCCTTGACCAGAATCGAACCTGGGACCCCTCAGTCCGCAGGCCAATGCTCTATCCTCTGAGCCAAGCCGGTTAGGGCAATGCCAGTTTTTCTTAATAAATTACACTATTATAATGAGAAATGAAGTACTTCCATTTCCCCAAATCTATCCTCGTTAGTTCTGTGTGCTGGCTGTTTCTCGTACTTGCCTATTTGGTACCACATGTGAGGCCTGTGCTCAGTACCAGGCCTTCCGCCGGGCAGATGGGGACCCAGATCCACAGTGTTACTTCATCGTCTCCTCATTGCACACACCACCTTCACAGGACTTGGTTTCTGGCGTTTATTTTCTCTTCTCTTAAAAAACCCCAACACTCTACATGTCCCACTGCTTCCCTGAGTGTTGATTTGATTTTTCAAGAAGATGCCTAAACCACAGGCCACAGAGAAGGCAGGAAAGCAAAGGATGAGAAGAATATACAAAGATAGGAAGAAGCAGAGAAGGAAGAGAAAAGCTCAGGAGCGAAGAAGAGGGAGAGAAGGGAGGAGGCAGCAAAAGGCGAGATGTGGTGGGAAGGAGGCTGCCCCCGAATTGGAGCTGAGTCCTTGAGGGGCCTGGCCCTGAGCTAAGGCTTCACCCTGGGTCCCAGCTGCCTGGACTCCCGGCTGGTTATTCTACGCAACTAAAACAAGTCCCTTCTGACCAAAAGTGGGCATTGGGTGGACTGTTTTAACAGGATTATTTTACTAAAATTATGTTTAAATGATGCTATGGAAATAAGGCAAGCAAAATGCTTCCCATCCTCCTTTGGTCTTCCTAATGGCGAGCAATTAATTCAAATACCTCACAGCCTGTCCAGTTTTGCTTCTTCATTTCAGAGAAACTAACTGGATCCTGCAATTCACTATTCAGTTTTCTTTTATTTTTCTAATTTTCAATGACTAACTGGTCGGTCTCCAGTATAACACGTTTAATTTCAGTCATCCACGAAAACCATCAGAAAATTAATGGGAACAAACAATATTTAGACAGTATTCAAATTCCTGTCAAATATTTAAAGATGATAAACTTTTCTCAGTTCAATCTAAGTCAGTTCTCATTCACAAACGTGGCTGCTTTTCGCAATTTCCATGTATATTCGTGTCATCAATTTATGTTTCTACTGCTCCTTCCCCCAAGGGCTGTAAGTGGTAGTGAAGCTTGAAGACCAAGTTTGAGGAACCTGGGTCGCAGGAAAGCCCCATCAGAGGCTGTGAGACCATCACCAGAAAGTCCTGGATCGCCATCATGAGCAAACACCACCCTGCTGGGGGAAATGCGGTTGCCAAGATATTTTTATTCCAGTGAAGCGTACAGCTCTTAACTTGCACAGAGATCCTGTTCTCAGAGGCCATACAAGCCACGTTGGAGGCAATCCATAAACATTGTGGGAAAAATGACAATAATCCAAGACTGTTAAATCTGGGAGAGACTGGTCGGGAACTTGTAATTGGGAGATGTTTGAACTGGAATCCACAACTCTTGGAGGCAGGGCATGGCCAGGCTAGGCCTGGGATTAGGAGTTGTATCCATGAGTCCACAAAGGAGACAGAGGGACAGACTGCCTAAGAGAGAGGCCTATATGATATACAGGTTAGGACCAGGCTTTGGAGCAGGCTGCCTGGTGTGGAAACCACTCTCTACTTATCCAGCCTCTCTGTGCCTCAGTTTCCTCTTTTGTAAATAAGGGCGAGCAATAGAACCTAGCTCTTATTGGTTAAGTGATACTTTAAAGCACCAGTTTTATGGGAAGTACAGAGCCTGGCTCTTAATAAATGCTCGATAAATGTTAGCAATAATTATTATTATTCTAAGATGGGAGTGGCCACCAGCGTTAGCAGTAATTGATTTTGGGCAATTGATTGCTCAAAATATACAACCCTCTGCTCCCCATTTCCTGCTCTGCAGCCGTTTCCAATCCAGGTATCGGTGAAGGGCAGACACACAGGCAAGCTGACAGGCACTGCTGAAAATTCCCTGTGTAGTGTTGACTTACATACCTCTTTCCCCCTGCCCTCCTCTCCAATTTTTATAAGAATTATTGAAGTGTTCACACTTTAAGTGATGTTATTGTATTAATGTCCATGAAGTGATTCCAACTGCAATTGTTTGCCATCTCATGGGAGGCTATGAGCAATCTTTGAAAGAAAAATGCATATTTAGAATAAAAACAAGAAAGCTATAGAAAAGAGAAAGGAAATAAAGACACCCACCTATTAGAAGAGAAAGACCGGAAGTTGTAAGGATCAGAGGCAGAGTATGTGCTCAGATGGAGGGAGTCAGAGCCACTGTTAAAAGAAAGAGCGCCCCACTCAAAACGCTGCATGGGAAACTGACTACGCACTTTGCTGAATTCTGCAGGTCAGAAGGACCCAAGCCAGACAGGCGGGTGTGAGATGCATCAATTAGGTCAGACCATGCACAGTTTCAAACTTTGCACTGAAAATCCATTTTTAGCCCAGTCAGGTATGGCTCAGCAGTTGAGCACTGACCCAAGAACCAAAGATCACAGATTTGATTCCGGGTCAGGGCACATGCCCAGGTTGCGGTCTCGATCTCCAGTGGAGGGCGTGCAGGAGGCAGCTGATCAATGATTCTCTCTCATCATTGATGTTTCTATCTTTTTCTCCCTCTTCCTTCCACTCTGAAATCAATAAAAATATATATTTAAAAAAGAAAAGGGGAAAAATTTCCACTTTTAGTAATCGTATTATTACACAAGCCCTTTAATTTGAGCAGATGACACTTTTATTGTGCATTGTGCCTAACTACCGGTAGGTATTTAGTGAGTGGTCAAGGAGTTAGTTCACGCCACAGCTGCGCTCTGCGCTAACCAAATCCACACAATCAGCAGAAGACAAGACAAGTGATGCGGTTAACAGGCTGTGCTTCCATCCCCGGGTTAATCTCACGCGGGCCTCCACACAGGCTGATCTACCTGCTTTCCTTCTGGGCCTCGGCTTCCTTTTCCTTGGTGGATAAGGGTGAATCTTCAAAGTCATAGGAGAAGAGGTGGAAGGGACTGTGGGGCACATAGGGCAGCTTTTCTATGGTCTGCGATGCCTTCGGGGGGCCAGATGTGGAGGTCCGAGAGGCAGGGGTGGGGTGAGGCAGCAGGGCAGGCACAGAGGACCCGCTGCCCCAGGGGCTCCCCCCTGCAGTGCTGGCTGGAAGCTGCTTTCCCTGCGAGGTGGAGGTGGCGCTGGAGGCAGGAGCGGGGGCTGGGCTTTCCTGTTCAGTGGGCTTCTGCTCTGAGGCAGTGCTGGCCTGGCTGCTGGCCCCACAGGGAAAAGAATTGAAGGGAGGGAAGGAAGGGAAGAAAGGAGATTCAGGAGAGAGAGAGAGAGCAAAAGTTAGCAAGGAGGAAAAGGCATGTACAAAACCACTACTGCTATGGCCACTTACTTCAGGGTCCAGCTGAGCTCCTGGAACTGCAGCATGAAAGCCCATCACTGACGCTTCGGTTTGCTCAGTAATCCTGGGGCCCTGGGCTTGCCAATCTGGGAGGCAAGACCCACTGGGCCTACGGGCATACAGGCCTTTGGGAGGGATTTAATGAAACCCCAAAGGCTCTTCTGCATCTGCCCTTAAGCCCTGCCCTCATCCCCCCCAGCCTCCCCATCCCCTCCAACCCTAGAGGAATGGGAATCTGTTCCCTGCAACACAATTGGGTGACCAAACCCAAAGCCCACACAGCAGTGCCACCTGACTTCGATTCTGGGCAAGCACACACGGAAGTCTATTTTCTGACCTCCTGCCAACACAGTGCTATTGTGCAACCCAGTCTCCCAAGCTGACTGGGACCCCAATTCTCTGGGCGGGAGGCAGCAAAGAGCACCAGTGACTTGACTCTGTTTCTTATCATGTGCACCCCGGATCCCTGACTTCCAGTGCATTCACACCAAGAGCCAGTGACTGTGTTGGCACCACAATTTGAACCTCACTGCTTTGTCTTGGTGAGGAAGTGACATCCTATAGCCCATACTTCACTCACTCCTTTCGTCCTTGAGAGCAGGTATGGATGAGAGAAAGGGGAAAGAGATGCCAGCAAGGAATGCAAAGAGCAGGAAGGAGGGGCTGGCGTGCGGAGAGCACATTTTGTCCATTTCACACTTTCCCAGGGCCTCCTCAACTCGAAGAATTTGTGTTAAACTCTGCAGTTTTCAAAGCTATGGCCCCTCTCCCAGAGAACCTCACCCCAGCCATGCCCATTTGGGAATGGGATATGGGCTGTTTTCTTTCCTACCTCAAATTCTGAGCTCCATCTACATATAAGGGAAGGGACATGCCAGTTTCCCTGGCCCGATGGGAAGGTGAGACCACACTGATGTGCTCAGTGTAGGCCTGGCATGTGGTGGGCACACACAGCAGTCACACGTGATGGGTACGCATGGTGGGCTCACACAGCAGGCACATGTGATAGGTATGCATGGTGGGCACACACAGCAGGCACACGTGATAGGTATGTATGGTGGGCACACACAGCAGGCACACGTGATGGGTACGCATGGTGGGCACACACAAAGAAGCAGCCAGCAGGAAGGGGAGGCAGCAGAAGACACCAAACCCACAGAAGTAAGCAGGATCTTCCCACCACTTTAAAGTCTAATAAGTTTACACCAGGGAACAAATAGCATGCAGATTAACACTATGAATTAACACTATGGTGCTATCTACATAGAGCCCTGGGGTTCAATATGCACATCTTATTTCCTAAAACTAAAAAACATGACTAGTGTCTGATCAAGGACACCCTACAGCGTCAGGCATGATGTCAAAAACACTTCAGAGGGTCGGATAACAATCACCTACTGTGCAAACAATTTTATGTAAAGACAGCAAAATGTCAGCAGGGATGCCTTTGAAAGCTACCCATTCTGGCCAGATTCTTCCATCTGGTCCATAGTGCTGAACTATGTGTCACTGAGGGTTGAAGGGCATGTGTGTGTGTGGGAAGGGGAGGCGGGGGGGGGGGGGGGGAATAGGTGGAGGTGGCGCAGGAGCTGATGTATGTCAACACCTGATTTATGTTACTGTCCACATGACATGCACATTTCAGCATAGAGGGAGCCATACCTGTGTGTTTATTGAGGGTCTACATAATTTCCTGTAACTAATTTTTCACCTCAAAGGGGACTGTCAATTAAACCTCCTCCCTTCCCAGAGCATCTGTAACTAAAAAGTCACTATCGCCAAGCAGGGCTCTTGGCATGAGCTAGGAGCTCTGACGAATGCCCACCTTTCTCGCCCTCTCTTCCTGAAATGTATGGCTCACTCTCTGTCCAGGCCATTCCATTCCTCTCTCCATACCTGCTGGCTTCTTCCCAGTTATTTCCAAAGGGGAGAAGCAATCATTAGTTTGTCAGTTCAGAGAGGATTCCATGACCCATGAGAATGGTGGGAGTCTTAGGGTGTCAAAGGGGCCTATACGAGAACTTTTATTTGTGCTGGTGACCTGGAGAATGAGGCTACAGCAGCAATGAATCACATTGACTTTGAAGTTAGTAAGAGAATGATTTTACCCTAATTCATCCAAGATCCTTTTAATTTTGCTTTTTGTGGAAAAAACTAACCGTAAAAGTGTCAATTTGCAGTATAGTCAATTAAGTGGAGGAAAAGAACATCTGCAAGGTGCCTGTCTGTTACCACTGACTAAAGACAGAAAGAATGCACCTTGGACAGATGAGCAGAGAACAGTAAACTCTCCAAAGGACCCTAGAGCTATGTTAGTTGTGCTGGGCATAAAAATAAACACTGAAAATATTTTTCTAGATTCTAGTGCCGTGGTCAGCAAACCGCAGCTCGCGAGACATATGTGGCTCTTTGGCCCCTTGACTGTGTCTCTTCCACAAAATACCACGTGCAGGCGCGCATGTACAGTGCGATTGAAACTTCATGGCCCATGCACAGAAGTTGGTATTTTGTGGAAGAGCCACACTCAAGGGCCAAAGAGCTGCATGTGCCTCGCGAGCCACGGTTTGCCGAGCCGCAGTTTGCCAATCACTGCTCTAGTGGATAAAGTGTTCCTGTCCACTTTGATAAAAAAAAAAAAAAAACTTGCATCATTCACACAGTAGTTACCCACACATTTTAGCTAATATTGTACTGGTAAAATTAGTAGGAAGAAGGAAACACACATAATTATTTTTAGTACAGTGCTGAAAGGGTTAAAATTTTCTGTCACTCTGACTGAGCCAAAGTACTTAATGAGGGAGGGAACAGTGGGAAGAAAACCAACTGGGTGAGTTTTCCACAAAGCATGGTTAGGAAGGCTGTATTGGAGTGAAAAAATAAAGTTCTGAAATGAAAACATGCACTGTGATTTCTACAGACTAATCACTCTGTGGCTCTGTGTATAGGGTCAGTAAAGGTTTGCTGGTGGGAGCTGGTGAGGAAGGGAGGGGACTACTGACAGGTGGCTGCAAACCATTCATTAGGAGGGAGCCTGGGACTTTTAGTGGGGGCCTGGGAGGGTCCAGCCCTTGGTACCTGTCCTTGCCCTGAGAGGGGGCATCATCCTCTCTCTCTTCCTCTGAATTGGGCTCCGTGACTGGCTGCTCCTCTTCCTCCTCCTCCTCCTCCTCATCCCTGAGAAGAGGCCAGGAAAAGAGAAATGCACACAGAGACAAGATGGAGAAGTGAGATAAGCATTACAGACAAACAGGAAGATGAGGCAAAATCACTCCAGCTGGCTGAAATGAAAAGAGCACATTCAGTCTGTTAGGAGAAAGGAAGAGAGTTCTGAGATGGGGAAATTTCAATGTGGGGTGGAGATGCAATAACCCAGCACAGGCCAAATTTCTTTGTCAATTTGGCTGGATGCCACTGCCTTGCACCCCACCCGGGATTCAGAGCAGCTTCTGGCCTTGGCAGGACTCTTCTGTGGTTTTCCTCCTCCACACAGAGTCACGCAGGGAGTGTGTGGTGAGGCCCAGCTCCTGCAGCAAGCAGGGTCCTCATCTCTTCACTGCACCACTGTTGAGTAGAAACCACTGAGGGTCTGGCCACAGGGCACTGACCTCCATGGTGCTATGGTTTTTACATGTCACTCCCTCGTTCTCAGTGAATGTGATTCGCAGGGGACGGAAAGGAGGGCTGATCCACTTCAAGGGTAGATGTGAGGTCTAGGTGGAGTCAATCCGTATCACCCCTGGCTTTCTCCTGGTGCCTTCAAAGTCTGGAGCCACCTATCATTTCTAGGGGAAGAAGGCTGCCTGTGAGTGAGGCTGACCCGAGAAAAGCAGAGCTGGAGAGAGAGAGAGAGAGGGTGAGAGAGAGAGAGAGAGAGAGAGAGAGAGAGAGAGAGAGAGAGAAGAGCAGCTCCCGTGACAATTTAAAAACCTGGATCCAGTACTTTTGCCTTACTAATGGAAGGTGATAAATTCTCATTTTTGCTACAGATAGTTGAACGGGGGTTTTGCCCTTGCAGCTGAACAAGTACAGACTTTAAAACTGAATCATTACCCTCCTTTGGCCTCTAAATTTTGTCAACACCTGATTTATGTTACTGTCCACATGAAATACCTACCTGAGGCCATGTGGTCTTCTACATGCCTTGACAAAGGAATTGACTCCTGAGCTTCAGTGACCTTCACCTTTTTTCTCTTCAGCCCCGCACACTGGTCCTCCTCACCATGGCACAGGACTAGCCCGCTTGGGAAATCTGACCACAAGCCCCCATTCACCCAAATCTCTCATTCCACTCCTCCCACCACAACTTTTCTGCATTCTCACAGTATCCTTTCTCTACTTTCTTTCTTTTTCTTTTCTTTTTTTCCTCTACTTTCTAAAGTAGATGCATCCATAGACCCAGCACTCCTTCAATGCTCCCTTCCAATTGCTTCCCTCCCCTACTTCAAGTAGCACAGGTAAGCTTTGCTTCTTCTCTTCTCCATCTAAGAGGAATCCTACATGTCCAGCTTCTTTTGTCTACACTGTTATGTGCACTTGAAGATCATTTGTTCTCATTGCTACACAGCATTCCCTTATATGAATATGCCACAATCCAGTTATCCAATCTGCCATTGATGATAATCAGGTACTTTTCAGTTGGAAACTATGCCCAATGGAGCCTGAGGCCACCTTCCCTCAGATTGATCAGAAATTTGCAGGTGTTATTACGCTTAGTCTATCCAGAACCCACAGATCTCTATCCTGCCACCCAATAGGTCTCTCCTCTTTCAAACAAAACATGGAGCCTCTCCCTCCAAAATGACTTGATTTCACTTGCTTCCCCAGGTGGTGAAGTCATGTAGAAGCAAAGTCTGCTCGACCTGGAGAGGTTCGGAGCCAGGCTGCCTGGGTTGCACTCCATCACTTCCTGGTGTTTGAACTTGAACCCCACTTTCCCTATCCCAACAACAGTACCTGCCTCCTAGGAATAGTGCTTAATATGTAAAGCACTTTGAAAAGGTGTGGCATATAGTGAACAAATCTGTTTGTTTTAGCTGTTAGCTCTCTCTAGCATTACTATCCTTTGGGCCCTCTGAAGAAATCTCTAACATCCCCACCAGTGGATACTCAAACCTCTACTTGATTCGGTAAGGACGAGGACACAGTACTCTGCAAAGCACTCCACAGCACTGACAGCAACGCTCCTCCTTTTATAACTTCCACCTGTGTAAGCTCCGTCTTCCTGAGCCCTTTCTCTTGCATGTAGTTGTCCCACAGATGTTTGCAGAGGGCAATCCTGAGCTACTTCCCAACCTGGCTCCTCTTTAGGCTCAACATTTGATCCTGCAATAAATCTTCCCAGGTCTTGTGCGTATCACAGCTGTGCTATCAGGACCAAGGGCAGGACCAAGGGCAGGCAGCACAAATGCCCTGGGAGGGCCCACTTCCAGGATGCCCTATGGTCAAAGCACTGGCCTTGCCCTACAACCAAGCAGTGAAGAAGGAAATACCCTCTTGAAGAGCATAGGACTTTCTGTGCTTGATTTTATTTAGTTTCATCCTATGATGAAATAAGTCAAACAGAATGATGTTTTATGTGGTAATAGTTAAGACTGAAGAATTAGTTCAAATAATTTACTTTTTCCCTAATTGAATTTTCTCTTAAAGTATAACTTAATTTTGTTTATATTTGTGCTACAGAATTCTGGGGACTTTGACATGTGGCTCTCAAATATCTCTAGGGGTGTTTCACTTGTTTTTAATGATAAAGAGTTACTCCAGGGCAAAGGTCTATTCTGAACTCACCAGGTATTTTCCTTTTTACCACAAACAGTCCCAAACTCCATGGAGGTCACACCTTTTACATTGGAAAAGCAAGAGGCCCGACCACCTGACCAATTTTGCAAGAGTCAGTTTCCTTCAAAGACAACTTTCCCAAATTTGATGTCGTTTGGCAAAATAATTGGTGCTATCTTGTAAAGTTAAACATTCATATTATGAACCTGATCCATATCCCCTAGAAGTGGCATTGCCCAAAGGCAGTGGTTCTGAACCTGGGTGATTCTGTCCCCCTGGGAGACATTTTGGTTGTCAAACCTAAGGAAGGGGTGCTACTGTCACCTAGTAACCTTAGATGTCATGACCTGTAAGGCAAAAGACAGCCCCCACAACCAAGAAGGGCTTGGTCCAAAGTGTCACTAGTGTCAAAGCTGACAAAAACTGCCTGCAATACGGAAGCACATGTGCACCAGGACATGAGTCTAAGAACACTCGCAGAAACCATGTAATTGCCAAAAAATGGAAACAACCCAAATATGTACCAATAGGAAAAAGAATAAACTGTGGTATTCCAAACAGTGAATATGGATGACCTTCAGCTCCATGTGACTCTATGTGTGAATATTAAGAGCATAATGTGAAGAAAACAAGTGTAAGAAGAAATATGTTATACTTTTTTATAAAGTTCCAAAAGGCAGAAGTGTATAATATATTGTTTGGTTATACATATATGTCTGATAATCCTAAAAACCAATAATAAACCCATAAGATAATGATAAACAATATTTATGAGTGCTGGTTTCCCAGGTCCAGAGATGGGAGAGTTGGAAGTACACAGATAAATGTGGTCTAGGGGTAATGCTCTGGGTTTTTAGTGAGGCCACAGTCTCACTGATATCCTTTATATTCATACATATATTTTATATAAAAATAAATAAAGACAGGGCCACACATGGACCAAAGAGGACAATGGATCATGAACCAAGGATTATGATTAATCCAACTGTGAACAATTAGAATGTTTAACATAGATTTCACTTTTTTTTTAGAGAAGTTTTAGGTTCACTGCAAAATTGAGCAGAAGGTACGGAGATTTCCCACCATGAGTAACAAAACAAATTTTTTTAAAGCAAAGAGGTATAACTATGGAGCAAGAGCTCTCTCTCCCTTTGTCCAACAAATATTTATTGAGCATTTATTACGGGCAAGATGCTGGGGTATAGTCGTTAAAAGAAGTTCCCATCCTTGGAGTTTACAGGCCCATGATGGAGAAAGACATTAAACAACTAATTGCACCCAGAAATATTTGACTGAAGAAGACTTCTACATGCTGTTGGAGCAAAACCCAAAAGGCCAAGCAGAAATTTGACCAGAGGACAAGATGGGATTTTGTACATGATACTCCCCTGTTCACACATCTACTAACCCTAGGATCAAGCCCAATTTGCCTACATAATACTCTAACCCAGGGGTACTCAAACTTTTTAAACAGGGGGCCAGTTCACTGTCCCTCAGATCGATGGAGGGCCGGACTATAGTTTAAAAAAAAAAACTATGAACAAATTCCTACGCATGCTGCACATATCTTATTTTGAAGTAAAAAAACAAAACGGGAACAAATAAAATATTTATATTTGCATGTGGCCCGCGGGCCGTAGTTTGAGGACCCCTGCTCTAACCCCCATCATCTCTCCAACTTTGTGTCCCACTTTCCCTTCATTAACTTCCACACCCAGTCTTTATTGGTCTATTGTCTATCTGCCCAACACCAAGAGCATGTCAACTTGGGGTCCTTGCAGGAACCATTTTCCCTGTCTGGAGTTACTCCTCCTCTCCTTTTCTAGTGGGCCCACCCCCCAGGGACATCCAGTAAGTTCTTGCTGCCTATTGCAGTTCTCTGTACTGTGGACCTAGCATGGTGTGCATCATGGAGAAACTTGCATGGATGGTCAAAGAACAAGACTGGCAAGAACCGAGAAATGACCCTGGAGATCTCCCCACATTGCAGGTAGGAACGAAGAGATTCAGAGAGGGCAAGATCACAAAATTTGCCAGTAAGAACTCTGGTCTCCTAATGTCCAGGCCCTTGTCCTTTCTACCATGCAGGCTACCCCATGAAACAAGCATAATCTAAGTTGTTTTTATCACTCAATCATCGCTGCAACAGCGATGTTCCTTCTAAGCAACAGTCTCCTGAACTCTGCTTCTTGATCCTCCTCTCACATGGCACAGCCGACAAAATACCATTTGCACAGCTCAGTAAAGGACAAAGCTGTGTGTGGCCCCCAGGAGACCTGCCCAGTGCCCCAGTCACCCGATACCTGCCTGGTGCCCCTGAGGGAATCCGTCTTGACACAGGTATGACCCGTGTGTGGCAACTAGTTAAAAAGCTCTGCAGTAGGCTTAGATAAGATGTA